TCGAACTTCCGATATCGCTAATCCGCTATTCGCTATTAGCGGACTAGCGGAATAGCGCGCTATTGCCCAACACTGGATAAATCACTACTCTGCACTGGAATATATCCTTCCTAACAAAAAGATATATGAGATACGAGCGTTTATCAAAACAAGTTTATTCAACAAATTCAAATTTTCTTTCAAATCCTTTACAATACGACGGCAATAAACAACAACGATAATACTTATTGTAACGATCATGCAAGCAAACAACAGAGAAATGAATAAATAAATAATTTGAATGCAATGAAGAAATAAAACTAAATTAACAACGAACTAATCAAAATCCAACAATAATAATATAACAGCAGCTTTCCCATACAACAAACAAACGAGGTAACAATCTTATGAAATGGTTACGAAACGATAGAAATAAACAATCTGAATAAAGATAACAACAATTAAAATACCATTAAATACACTGTCAAATCAAGATTTAAAAAACGCTAAAACAATACCAAATATCATCGGAAACAATGCNCAAAATTCAGTTTCGACCTCTCACCCTAGAGCATCATAAGGTTTGCAAGTGCTGACTAACGTAATAATACAACTACCCCTCTCTAAGTCCCCAAAAAAAATCAGTTATTTCCTCCCCGTGCTAAAGTCTAGATATGGATGTACTAGACATTCATCTGATCCGATTGTCATAAATGGCGGATACATCTCGACAAATCGAAAAGAAAAACATGATTATAGAATTTCTGATAGACAGACGAAACGACTATTCTCAAATCAAACGTCCTTGTGAAGAGGTAACACCCGCAGCGGCATCGTTTCGGGACTGAAGTTGAGTTTTTGCCTTTCAAGCTTATTTATCAGCCACAATTCAGCCCAAGCCTGAGCAAAAACTCAACGAACCTAATCCTGAGCTTTAGTCAACGTTTACGACAAATCAATCAAGCACGTAAGCAACAACAGCAGGTTCAGAGGAACAAGTATTCACGTTCTGTTAACTTCATCACATCCAATACCTTCAGTTTCAGAGCAAAATTTGTTTGCATTCAAATACGTATAACAAAACGCCATTTCGTAAATGTCCAATAAAATACTTCCAAAAAAGAAACAACGACTGCAGATGAACAATAACAATAACAATAACAGCACAAATAACTCACATTAAAAGTGCTCAAAAGGAATACACTCTCAATGCACAATGAATAATTAATAAAGCGTTCAAAACATGTAAAAACAACCATGAAAACTCTCATGATGCAACAAAAGAAACCTATAAAAATTCACTTACCCCTTTCAAATGACAACATCTGATATGATCGACTTTGTAAATTACTTCCTCAACACACATCGGTTGTTACTTCAATAAATAGCGATGCCAATATAAGACAATATGTCAAGTGACAAACACGTAAACAATCAAAAACGATAACAATAATACTGATAGCAAAATCAACGACTGTAAGTAATTTATGAGGATTTATCCGAAGAACGCGATGATGATTTTGAAGAACGACTCGAAGACGATGATGATGTGCTATCAGCGGATTTATTTCGCGAACTACTGAAAGATTTATCGTTATCCAAGAATATGAGAAAACAAATACCACATTCACTTCTTCATTCACTTATTCCAAAATGCAATACAACAACAATTGCCTTTCAAGTGCACAACTAGATATCATAAAAATATTCAAATTCTGCTCAAAAAATCAAATTTAGAACAGTTATAACACTTGATTCAAGACGTATACCTTCTAAAGACAGAGACTTCTGTAATCGGTGATCGGCATTTGTCTTATAGTTGTAATGATTCTACCTATCCAATTATGTCGATATGAATAATGTCAATTGCAATGATAATAATAATGAAGATAATAATTGAAAACGAACCGCTTATTTGATTTATTACGATCAGTACTACTGCTGCTACTACGACTGCGCCTTCGGTCTGAACGATCGCTACTCGATGTCGACGACGAAGAACTTGACGTCGAACGATGTCTCTTGCGCTAAATATTAAACAATCGTGTTAATGAGCAATAATAATATTTCATAAAATACGATAATAATAGCAATAATCGTTAATGGCAATAACAAAAATAATGGCAATAACGCCTACATTACACGCATAATGACAATAATAATAAATCAGTGGTTCTCAATATTTCCCCCCAGAAAATTTCAAGATGTCCCTGCATTCCTCCCCCCCCCACAACAGTAGTTAAAATGTGCTTGCACCCCTTTCAACATCCACTCTGTATCACTCATCCACCACAGTGAGTGTCTGTAGTGTAGATAAGCGCATACCATTAACAGTTCATTCTAGCCTTTCAGAACTATATACGTTAAAGTCCATCCTCGCCAACTTTACACGCATGTATGTGTTGAACTCCGTCCTTGCCTACTTTAATGTACAAAAAAAATAAAATCTTATCTCGCACTTTTGGGAGTGCAAGCACCCCCTGCAAAATATAATCAACTAACATCACTCCTACTATCTCTGTCTCTATCACGTCTGTACGAATCTCTTCTTCGACGCTCTCGTTCTCTACTCCTGTCACGTCCACGATCTCTCCAATCTCTTCCTCTCTCTCGATCTCTTCGCATTCGTTCATCGAACATCGCTCTTCTATCAACAAACCCACCACGATATCGGCTATAACGATCCCNACTTGGCCTGCTCACCTAGCCAGTGGGGTGGCTAAAATCAAGGCTAAAACAGTGCGAACGGAAACGCGAGCATTGTGGCCAGCAACGTTACAAACGTTTGATAGCCTGGCCAATCCAGGTAACATTGCAACCGAAAAACCCTCAATCCTGATCAGTATTAAATGATAGATAATAAAAATGAATTTGTATGATACCTTCTACGACGATCCTTAGACCTAGACCTCGATCTTCTCGCACTTCTGGTTCTACTCCTTCGTCCTCGGCTTCTGTGCTCACTTGTTCTACGCTCTCGTCTTCTACCACTCTCCTCAACTTCACTCCTCTTTCTACCAGCACTTCTGCTCCGTTCTCTGCGACTAACACGCTCTTTCTTCTCATCACTCTCCTTCTTTTCCACCGTTTTCGTGTCGTCCTCCTTCTCCTTTTTATCCTGCTTCTCAACACCATCCGCTGATTTCTTAGTTTCATCTCGCTTCGCATCTTTGTCTTGTTTTTCTTCATTCACTATTTTCTCTTCTTTTTCTGCTATTTTTTCCAACTGTTTCATCTCTTTGGGACCTTCCTCTTCCGGTTCTTTCATCACTTTTTCCGTCTCTTTCTCTACACCTTTCTTGTGCTCCACATGTTCTTCGACTTGTGATCCAGATGGCGCCTTAGAAGACGACTCAGAAACTCGACGCGATTTTCTGGGCTCCGAGGGATGAGATTCCGATCGTTTGTGTTTTGCGTGATCCTCTGCAAAAATTATCGTACAAACATTTTCTGGGATTGATCACTTTCGTTAAGCTAGTACAAAACAGTCGAATCGAAAACTTTCGTTCAATCCTGCATCGATGAAAACCCACAATTCGAAACACACTTATCGCAAAAAATATTGACACTCAAAACGCCGAAAACAAGCGAAAGATTCTCACTTAACAAGAAAACAACTTCAAATTGTTGAATCATAAACCAAAATGTCTGCTGTTTTTTGAACCGATTCCAAATAATTTCCAAGAATGCAAACACGAACAAGCCAAAATTTTGACTGTGCACAACAATCCACTGAATAGGAACCTGATTTGTTTGGCTGCGTTTCGTGCTGATTTTTCTCGTTCTCTTTTGTTTCCGCTGTTCTTCCTTCTGGCTTATCTTTGGTCTTCGTTTCTCGTACTTCAACCTCTTCATTCTGACCCTCATCGAGCACAACCTCTTCGTCTGAGTCTCCCATTTTCAGCTCATCCACCTCCTCACTGTTTTCGTTCGCTTTTCTCGTCGTCAGCATCTTCTTAACACTCTTTTTGGTCTGTAATTCGCTTGTTCAATTTAATTTTGAAATAATTTTTTAATGTCATCTTAGAGTCCCTCATATAATTTCACTTCCACTGTCAAACAAAGATACGATCGTCAAAGAAATTCGAACTCATGATCCTTAAAAAAAAAAATCAAAAATGAAATAAATTTATAAATCAGTTAACTCACATCTTCCTGTTTCGTTTTCTCGTTGTCCTTTTCAACATTCAATTCATTGAAGACCTCTTTTTTATTCTCCTTCTCCACCTCCACTTTCTGTTCTTCGTCTCTCAAATGCTCGCGCTCTCTCTTCTGTTCCTTTGCCTCATCTTTTCGTGAATCATCCTTCCCTCGCTTCGAACGATCTTCAACCGCATCCGACCGACTTTTGTGCTCCGAATAATGACGATGCGACTAAAACTGACAATAATAATGCCAATAAGAACATCATAACTACCGTTGCAACAAAAAATACTATGACTAAAATATAGTAATAATACTAACACTATTATTGAAGAACACTATTATAGAAAATAACACGATCACTATAACTAAAATAAAAAATTGAAAAAATATGATTGAGAATAGCAACAGCATGAATTTACTTGAATTGAAGGACAAATGATGCATCACGATAAAAGTCCACATAAAAACGCAGAGGATCAAACAAATTAAATGCAGAATACACTTCAATCTTATGCTAACAATCACTGCGCTCTTAATTATTGTATTTTCATATTAGACTGGAGCACTGACCTCAAAAATAGTTATTCCTTTGAGGAACAGGAAAAAAAGAGAATAATGAAATAAAAAGAATAATAAATTTTAAAAATAAACGAATCTGAATCTCACCTCACGCGCCCTCTCCCGTCGCTCCTTTTCATTGATACTCTCTCGTTCTGAACGTCTTCGACTACTTTGCTCTTCATCACGTTCTCTCGTTCCCTTCTCCGACTCATCCCGTCGTCGCTTCGGCTCTCGCTCTCTCTCGTTTTCTCGTCTCTTCGCTCGTTTTTCCTTGTCCTCTTTATTCTCCTTCTCATGCTCATCCATATCGTCTTTGACGAGTTGCTGCTCTCCCGATTCGTTTTGTTCTTGGCGACGATGCAATTCATCCAGCGATATGACACGATTCTGAGAACATTTCAATTGATCAAATGTTGATGAATTACAAATTTAACAAAAAGACGATTCAAAATAACTTCAAATTCACAGATTCAAAACTCAAAATGACAAATATTCAACCAGCTCTCACCTGTTCCCGTCTCCAGTGAGGTGGTGTGCGACTCCGCTCACGATCACTACCTTCGGGTGTACGGAATCTCAGTGCTCCTCTACCCTGAACGATAACTTACTGTGTTAATTGTTTAGCTAACGCTATACAAACACTGCCGATGAGAGTAAAATAAAAATCAATAAGAGTGAATCAACAAAATTTCTCATCCATCAATAATAGTAATAGTAATAANTAAAACAGAGTTTCCAACATGAAAATACAATATGAACGATACATTCACTCTACCACATCCAACCTACTCCTATTTGCTACGCAATATAAAGCGAATAAGAATCAGACGGAAGTAAATCACTGAACCTTAATTTTATGACCGGTACGAGTCAAACGCAGACGATGTTTGAGACGACGTGAATCAAAAGCTTCGCGTCTTGAGCGAGAATTCGTTGCTGACGCAGACAGACGCGACGGAGATTCGCCGCGTTTTTTACGTTCCTTTTCCTTCAACTTCTCTTTTTCTTTACGTTTCTCTTCCGGTGTTCTTGAGCTGTAATCAACGAAAACTTCAATTAATTCCTCCCAATGAGCAAATCGCACATCCAACAAACAATTAAAACCTTTCAACTGTACAGTTCACCTTTATCCGTAAATTAAATGAAAAGAAGAATCCGTAAAGAAAGACGACATTTACAACGTATCGAAAAAATTCGCTAATGAAATAGTCGAGCAGATTTTGGCAAGATGAAAAATTCAGTTCCGTTCCGTTCACTATGAGCTCCTTTCACCAGGAGAACACAAAAACCAAAAGATTAACCGACCGTCTCATTAAATACTGATTGTGATGTTCCGGATCTTTCGGTACTTCTTCAGCCTTCACTGTGGATATTGGTTCTTGAGGGTGAGCTGCTGCACTTGAATCACCAATCTCCAGTTGATCCACTGTGGCGGATTCACTTTTTGATTTCTTGACCTTGTGCTTTTTCTTCTTATGTTTTTTCTTCTTCGACTTCTCATCTGATTTTTGTGACGAAGAGGATTCTGACGATGACGATGAACTGTAACAGAAATAAGACCGAGTGTTCGAAACTACTGCTGATAAAGAGGAAACTAAAATGTTTGCTTTCCAAATAACGTGAATTTATCCATCACAATAAACAAATAAAGCAANCTAATCATCACAAAAAAGCAACTAAAACCTTCCAGATGCATCGGACTCGGATGCAGAATGGCGTCTTTTCGTTTTACGTATCAGTTCACCACAATTCAATATGACCACATCAGCCAACGGTCTATTTTTCGCATTCGTTTTCAAATGTTCAATTTCATTCACCACTTCCTTACCAGATACCACCTTGAACATATCACAACAATGAATCATAAGCTGACAATGCTACCACTGAATTGCTTACTTTCTAGCATATCATTATTCGAACCAACTCTGACTACCTATTTTTGTGAAAACTGAGACATGATTCTGAATATCTCCACGTGAGTTGCTCTTTTCGTAGAATTATTAAATTAACAAATGTCATTACCATTATTATTGTTATTATTATAATATCACTGCGTTCACTATTATTTTCATTGTGAACATTTTCACTGTCATGATAGCTAGGAGTGGTAAGGCATCACATTTTCGGATGATCGGTTTGGTACCAGCGTACAATGACCAAAACAATCATCTAAATAATGCAGTCAAAGGAAAAGAATCGCATCATAATGTAACAAATAAAAGAATAATTGACAAATAACGAACTAACCTTTCCAAAGACAACATGAATACCATCCAGATGAGGTGCGGGTTGCGTGGTAATGAAGAACTGCGACCCGTTGGTGTTCGGACCTTTATTGGCCATCGATAATAAATATGGTTCGGAATGCTTGTGAACAAACTCTTCATCATCGAACATACCACCATAGACTGACTCTCCACCTGTGCCATCACCTTTCGTAAAATCACCGCCCTGAAATACCGCTTTGCTAGTAAGATTATAACTGGCAATTATATCTAAATTTGTTGTCATATCAGTCACATCTTAATCTTTCCTGAGCAGTTAAAGTAGTGAATGAAAACTAATCAAAGCACGTAAGTTCTACAATCTCAATCTGATAATATTACTGATTAAGTTCCTCGAAAGTAAAAAAATTAAACGAAAAAATAAATCATGTGGTTAAAGTAAAGTGTCACACCTGAATCATGAAATTTTTGATGATACGATGGAATGTAGAGCCTTTGTAATGAAGTGGCACATTGCTTGTCTTACTAACGCCCGCCATTCCAGTGCACAACATCAGGAAATTATGCGTTGTTCGAGGTGCTGCATCATTGAAGAGTTCCATTACGATACGACCAGATAAACGACCGTCGATGGTCACGTCGAAAAATGCACGACGGCGCTCTTTCTTTGACATCTTCTCCAAATTTGGTTTCTGAAATTGGAGGATTCTGTAGATATGTACAGGAGCCAAATGAAATCACGAGTTTATACTATTCAATTAGACAAAGTTTCTGAGAAAAATCGACCGTTTGAGGAAAGTGAAAACTCCAAACTCCAATAACGATAACGATAGTCTCCTACAAAGCAGAAGCTATCAATACCAAACCAGCATTTTTTCAATGATATTCATAGTCAGTCAAATTCTCGAATCAAAGCAATACAATTCCTCAGTGGAAGTCGCATGAGATCTTCACCATGTTAAACAACACGAACACACGCAAGAATATGATAGATGCAACACAATATACACCAGAACAATAACTAATCAATGATATTACAATACAGTTCCCCTTAAAAGTAACAAAAATAGCTTGAACACATTCTGAAATTGAGATCAAAAAGCACACAGTAGCGTTGTGGCATGACGACCCACTTGGACGGTTCGCTTCTTGTGTGTGCGTTCTTGGAAAAATCGCTCACTTCAAATCGTACGTTCGTTCAATGATATAGGTTGATTGTTCGCACAGCAAATATCATGTTGAGAGATAGTATCTTCAAATGACATGAAAGAAATTGAGTTACCTTAAGTTGTTACGACCTGTGGATGCGCAGCATTGCAATATTGGTGATTATGATATTAGTAGATAGATGATAGAATATTATCAGCAGTAATAGGTGGGGGATTGGGGATAGCTGGGGAGTAGAACAGAATATTATAAAGTATGGTAGATAAACGGAATCAAGGTATTGGTAGACGTTTCGGTATAAAACACCAGCTTCAGTACCTTTCAATGTTGCACATAGTCACGGGCACTGATGAGTAGTCAGAGTAGCATGTTGTGGTTCATGTGATGATAATATTAATAGCCGAGATGCTGTGATTGGTTTTAATGCTCAACAAATTATCTTCAACAACAACCGATACTTTCATTCAAGACGAATGAATATTGATAAACCTCATCGCCTCAAACATTTCTTGTCGTACATTAATATCCGGTTGGAGGTCATGAATAAATGATGCCTCCTTTATTTTGCGGCGTTGTAGGTTTCCCTCAACAGAGATGATATCAATCTCAGTAAGTGCCACCCGACCCGTGTGAGTTTCTTTCATGTAGACTGACTAAGGTCTGTCCCGTTCAGGATGCTTCATGTCCGCAAGATGTTGCTTGTAGCGGAGGCGCAAAGGCTGATCTGTTTCCCCAATATAGAACGATGGGCATTCCTCGCATGCAATTTTATATACCACACGCTTGATATTGTATTCTCCGTCACCCTCCTCGCATACTTCGCAGTCGTTCACGTCACATCTGCAGTCGTATAGTCTTGAGTTTACTAGTATGTTTTTGAGCGAAGGGGGCGATTGGGGGATAACATTGACGCTTATATTCCATTTTGAGAATATTTTCTCCACTCGATACGAGAAAGCGTCCGTAATGTAGGGTATTCTGATATTTGGCTATCCATACACGAATTTACGAAGCCTTGAGTACAGGGATGATGTGTCGTGCCCGTTGTTTTCCGCTATAATTTCTGCCCATCTTCTTGATGTTTCCTTGTGTTCTTCCGATGACAGTTCCACCGCTCTGCGTATATAATTCTTGATTGTTCACTTGCAATAACGGCAGCAGCTCATCCTGTGTGTGAGAGCTAATCATTATGAGTGTACGGAATGCGAATATCAGAACTGACGACCGCATTTGAACGAACGTGCGATTTCTGAGTAGCGATTTTTCCAAGATTCGCGTCACAATCATCATTGCTACTTCGAAATTCAAAAACATCAGTTAATCAAAAGTTTTTAAAGATTTAATGGAACACATTAAAATTGCTGGTGAACAAAATCAGAAGCTGTCTATTAACGCAACATATTTCTCTGTTCCAAAGTTCTCTTAAACTCCTTTCGAGAGGGATTCTTCAAATGGACTGAGACATAGTAACGCTCGAAAGAATTTGCATAACGTAAGCCATACAAGATAAAACGATGACTAGCTTCATTTCAAGCCACTCTGTGCAGCTACTTGAATATATGGGGTATTATTCCATTCAAGGCTCTTGACTGCAAATTTAAAGAATTCAAGAATAATAACATTTATTCGCATAATAATATATGTAATAAGTTCTATAAAAATAGCCAGTGTTGGGCAATAGCGCGCTATTCCGCTAGTCCGCTAATAGCGAATAGCGGAATAGCGATATCGGAAGTTCGAGTGAATAGCGGAATAGCGATAGCGAGAACGGCGCTATCGCTG